TTGGTTAGATCTCTCCTTCAATTTATTGAATTTAAACGCATTGAATCGAGCAAAGAAGACCCATATTCTTCGATTTGCAGGATTCCAGTGTAAGAATCTCTTTTGGGTTTAATCTTGACTGTGTTTGATGTGTGATCTATTGTTCATAAAATCAATTAGAAAGCCCTTTTTTCTTCCTTTGATTTCATATATGCTATCTATATTTGATCCTTGTTCTTGGGTTATCGATTTGAATGAAATATGGCTCTGATTTTGTATAATCAATAACTAAACGAAATTAGGGTTTGCAGAAGGCAAAGGAGAGGAAGAGGAAAGAGAAAAGAGAAAGAGAAAAAAAAAGGTATTTTTTTTTTCTTTTGTCATGTTGTCCATCTTATGTGTATTAAAATGTTGTGATGTGTTATTATTATTGTTCATGTCAGATCAAAATAAAATTAAATTGAAATTTTAAGTATTAAATCAAAAATTTTTTTAGTTTCACAGGCCAACTTAGAGATTAGTATAATAATTAAGAAACTAAACTGTGGGTTTAACACCAACAAATTAGTTACTAATCAAATGGTTTTTTTTTTCCGTGGCAGGTACATCTAGTAGAGGGATGGACGAAAAAAAGAAAAAAAAAAGATTATGTTATCATTGATTCGCAAAAAGCATTGGAAGAACAAGTTATCTGCTGTTTCAATACAAAGCTAGCGAGGCAGCCAACTGGATTGCTAGCCCCAACCATGGAGGATGTGTGCACAAATAAATTTTTATTTAATTAGAGCACGAGGATGTTACATTCTATTACAGATGACACACCTAAATCCTTTCCCCGTACATTCCTTGCCCTTTTAACTTCTTATGTTCCCTGTTGACTAATCATTAACTTCTTGTCTCATACACTCCCTTCTTTCTTCCACCCAATCAGTAAAGAGTCACATACATACCAATTCGTCCTCTTTAGTAGTAAATCTTAGCCAAATAAAGCATCTCTATATGTACTCTAATGAAGGGGAAGAGA